ATGGAGTAGGCTGGGGGTGGGTTTGGGCTGGAGGCTGGAGGAGCTTGGAGGGCCTGAGTTCCAATCGTGCTCAGAAGGGCTTGGAGTTGCTTCCCCTTATTAGCCTCCAGCTAAAGCCCTTCCAGCTAGCAGCACAGGGCAGCCTTCCGATCCCTGGACTCCCCATTCCGGGTTTCCAAGCTTCCTTGTGCCAACCACCCTTGGCTCCCTGCAGCCACAGCTCTTTGTTTTCTAGGGCATCCCTGGGGATGTGAAGGTGAGGAAGGGCAAGAGGGTGGGTGGCCTGTGGCTGCAGCTACTAACAATGCTGCTTCCGGGTATTTTGTCCCTGGTGGAATAGGACTTTTTGTTAAGGGGGGGGAGAATGGGTGAGGCTCAGTAGAGTACACTAGATGTGCCTGAAGGTCCCCAGGGCTCGTCCTTCATGGCCCTGGGTCAGCGAGAGATTATCGAGCCATCTGACCTGGTTTTTCTGTTGAAACTAACCATCAACTCACAGGTATTGATGATCTCATTACTGCTGAAATTATCCTCAGCAAGTGGTACTTGGAGTGTGGAAGGAGACGAGGAGAAGGAGGAGGGAGAAAGAAATGGGAGCAGGGAAGAAAGTGAGTCTTCCAATCTCAGAAGGAAGTACAGAGGGGCAGATGATAGAACATACGCCCAGGAGCCAAATGGAGGGTTTGGAATGGTGGGTGAAGCACTTCCTTTATTTTCTTTAGGCAATGACAAGTGGGGGGAGTCTCAAGTTTCCACCACTGGGGACCCATCTTCTTCCTCTTGTCCCTGTCACGAGCATGACGGATCTGCACACAGTTCCCACTCCACCCTAGCCCGGACCTTTAAGGTAGACGTGTGTTCAGAAGGACCATCCAGCTCTATTTGGGAAAGCGAAATCAAGATAGCTGTGCTAGGCTTCAAAGATGACGTCTACACCAGATGAAATCAGTCAGAAGCAGATCAGCACCCAATGACGGGGACACTGAAACTTTGCTATCGCTGGTTTAAGAATCAGAAAGGCTCTGGGCCAACTGCAACAAGAAGAAAAGACCCTGAAGACATAGAGTCTAAGACGAGAGCTGAGAGGAATCTCAAAAATTGTTCAGACAGAATTTATCATTTCCTCCTTTCTATCTCTGCAGCACTTTTGGCAGATGGCTTGCTATATTATAATTTATTGTCATGCATCTATCAAGAAAACATATTTTATCCACTATTACATTGCCAAAGCATCTATAGGTTTAGTGAATGTTTGTGTTTATTTCATCCTATCGTACACCTTCATTTTACCAATGAGAAAAAAATAGTCCAAGAAACCGAAGAGACATCCCAAGCTACTAACTTGCTAGGTTAGTGAAACACTGGCCAAAGGCTTAGCTCAGCCTGTAGCGTTCAGCTGAAAACATGAAGCGTTCCGCAATATCCAGTGAGATGGGAAGAGATCAGTTCCAACCACTTCCAATACACAGTGTGTCCTGGGTGCGGCCAACCTGGATGGTACATTTTGGAAACAACATTGGAAGCGGAAGAGATTTACAAGAGTATCTGCCTAAGGAGGCTAAGTTCCCAAAAGATGCTCTAAACTATCTATAAAATATATGATCCACGCTTTTTCCTTTCCGCATCAAGAAGTGCCCCTATCTCCCCCCTAAGGGGAGTAATGAGCCTTCAAGGCTGTTTATATAACGGACGTTTCTCGGACAAGAAGAGTGAAGATGAAATCCTCTGGAACAGTATCTGCTAAAATGTTTCCTCGGAACGCCGGTCCCCACATATATTCTTTGAAAGAAAAACAGGGCCCTGTGGCCAAGAGAGATGGATGAACGCTCCACACTAACTCCCCTCCGGGGGACTCACCGCATTTAGCTCGCTAAAGGCCCTGAGAAATACTGCAATGGGGAAACGAGTTTGAACTTTGTTCAACTCAGGATTGCCAAAATTATGTCACCAGGAAACACTTTGTTTCATGTCACACTTAGGACAATGGCTCTCAGCCTTTTTTGTTCATGGTGCACTTCCAAATTCTGGAATCCAGGGTCAGGCACTTGAAATCGGTCATACGCACAACACGCACGGACCTACTGTGTAACGGGGTCTCTCAGTAGGACAGTCTGAACCCTGCGGTTTGCTCAGCGCCCTACAGGCCTGCTGGAAGGTTGACTTGAACTTGGCTCTTCCCCTATGCTTTTTTATAGACTCCCAAATCCAACTGGCCACCTCTTCCAGAAGAAATCTCCTCTTCCTTGGAATGCCTTGGCATTGCAGCACACCTGTCTCCAACAGGCAGCTCGGCAATTGTCAGATCTTCAGCTGACACAAAAATAAATTTTACACACACTGAAAAAAGCTTGGCAGCACATCTGTAAATGATTTAAACCACACAGGTTAAGAGCGCCGGCCCTGGAACTGATATTCCAAGAAGTAAACTAGGAGGCTGTTGAGAAGAGGCATTCATTCCTAAGAGGTTATCTCCGGGCCAGCCCTGGCTTCTCAAGATGCACAGAGAGGCCAGGTGGAGGAGGGGTGCAGGGCTGCTGGGACCCTGGGAGTCAGTGTCCAAAGTCCTCTGAAACACGGAGATAGAAAGCAGTTTATAAATCCCACCCTCTTGTTTTCAATTATTTAAACAACAAATTTTATTGAATTGAGAAAGTGTTTATTTAATTACATGCTTGTTTCTTTAACCACTTTATTGATGTATGTGTGATATACAAAGAGCTGTACATATTTAATGTATACAAACTTGATGAGTTTACACCCATAAAACCATCACCACAGTCTATGGCATAAACCCATCCATCACCCACCCCAAAAAGTCTCCTCCTGATCTACTTTGTGTGTGTAATAATAAGATCACAACATAAGCTCTACCCTCTTAGCAAAGTTTTAGGTATTCAACTTAGTCTTGTGAACTGTAGGCACTATACTGTACAGTAGATCTCCAGGATTTATTCATCTTGTATAACTGAATCATTGTACATTTAACCAAGTTTCTCCATTTCCTCTTCCCTCCAGCCCTTGGCAACCACCATCCCCCTCTCTGATTCTGTGAACTTGACTATTTTGGATGCATCACAGAAGTGGTATCATGTAGTGTTTTTCTTTATGTGCCCAGCTTATTTCTCTATCTTCATGTCCTCCAGCTTCCTCCACATTGTTGCAAATGGCAGGATATTCTTCTACTCTAAGATTGAACAATATTCCATGCTGTGTACATACCACATGGTCTTTATCCATTCATCAGTCTACAGACATTTAGGTTGCTTCTGTGTCTCGGCCATTGTGAATAATTCTGCAATGAACATGAGCGTATAGATCTTTGTGAGATCTTGATTTTAACCCCTTCAGATATATCCCCAGCAGTGGGATTGCGGGATGATATGGTAGTTCTATTTTTAAATTTTGAGGAATCTTTAAGCTGCTTTCCATACTGGCTATACCAATTTACATTCCCACTAACAGTGTACAGAAGTTCCTTCTCCTCCACGCCCTTGCCAACATTTGCTATCTTAATTTTTTTTTTTGATAACAGCCATCCTAACAAGTGTGAGATGGTATCTTGCTGTGCTTTTGATTTGCATTTCTCTGATGATTAATGATGCTGAGCGCCTTTTAGTGTACCTGTTGGCTGTGTGTCTTCATTGGAGAAATGTCTATTCAGTTCTGTCTTAGTCCATTTTGCATTGTTATAACAGATGGAGTCTGATAGTCTAAGATCAGCCAGCTGCATCTGGTTAGTTTCTGGTGACGATCTGATGCTATGTCACAACATGGCAGAAGACATCACTGGGAGAGAGGTGCACACTAAGAGCCAAACTGGCTTTTACAACAGACCCACTTTCATGGTAACCCTTTAATCCACTAACTCATGAATGGATTAATCCATTCAAGAGGACAAAGCCCTCATGACCTGATTACCTCTTAAATACTGTGACATTAGACATTACATTTCAACATGAATTTTGGCGAGGACAAACATTTAAGTCATAGCAAGTTCCTTTGCCCATTTTTTAAATCATGTTATTTATTTTTTCTGTTATTGAGTTGTAGGGGCTTCCTGTATATTTTGAATATCAACCCTTTTTCAGATATATGGTTTGCAGATGCTCTCCCATCCTGTAGGTTGCCTTCTCATTTTGTTGGTTGTTTCCTTGGCTGTGCAGAAGTTTTTAGTTTAATGTAGCCCTGCTTGTGTATTTTTGCTTTTGTTGCTTATGCTTTGGGTGTCCATATCCAAGAAATCATTGCCGAGGTATTTGGTATTTTTTTTAAGTAATCTATCAGAAAAATAAGATAACCCTTAGTTAATACTCATTAGGGAAACCATGATGGGTGAAAATGCATCAGGCAAGAGTAAGGACCCCTGGATCCTGTTCCTGGCTACACCACTAGATAAGCCCTTGAGACTCAATTTCCTTAGCAGTAAAAAATAGGTTAGATTTGGTAGCCCGTAGAACCCTTTCGATGCAGATACTATTCTGATTTCTAAAGGATGCAAGAAATGGTCCTAATGGTCCTAAAAGTAATACATAATAAATAAGTGAAGGGTTGTGAACAAAATAGTTAATAATTATTGGAAATGTAACAAGGTGCAGGCATTGTTCCAAGCACTTTGCTTTTGTTATCTGTTTAGTTTTACAGCATCCCTATGAGGTATGTGCTATTATTACCTTGTTTTATAGATAAGGACAGTAAAATTTACAAAACTTAAGTGGCTTGGCCAAGACAGCATTGATAGTAAATAATAGAGCTGGGATTTGAATCCAGCAGTCCGACTCTACAGCCACTGAGCTGTTGATTTTCCAAAATGCTACACTTACAAAAAGTTTTGTAACAGATGCTGGTGCGTGTTATCTTTTTACGGGGCATGAAATGTGTTTGAAATAAAAATCTAGGAAAGAAAACGCAAATACCTAAAGAGGGAAGATTTCTAAAGGCACTGGTATAAATAACAAAATTAAATTGTTCAGCCAGATAACAATAGGCTGGAATCTATTTCTTGCGTGCCCCAGCAGCCTGGCGTGGGGGTCCCAGGGGTGGTGAGTTGGCACGGCAAGGCTCAGGAGCCGGGCTCAGGAAGGACTGAGGTAAGCTGCAGGGTGAGCCCCAGAGGGAGGAAGCTGGCAGGCATCCAAGGGAAGGGGGTGTGAGCCTGACAATGGAAACAGAATCTTGCGTCTCTGAGCTACTTGGAAGCCTAGAGGTCACTCCATCGAACTTCCCACCCAAAGCAGGCATTCCCGTTATCTCACGCTTGTGGGTATTTATCCAGCCTTTTCCTGAGCACTTCCAGAAATAGAGGAGTTAGCGTTGGCTTTACTTACCAGACAGCCTGTTCTATTGCTGGACACCCAAAGATATTAGAAAGCTTTGTTCATTTTAACTAGACAAAATATACCTTACGGTCATTTCTACCACGGCCCCTGGTTCCACAGCTCAGGAACCCCAAAATGACACTTGACGCCATTTCCTGCAATAGGCTTCAGATAATAGAAGACTCCCTGGGCCTTGTAGTGTCAAGCTAAAAAGACTGGCTCCTGCAGACATTCCTCATGGGACAGGTTTTGTCCCTTTACCATCTCAGTCATCATCCTGTTGGCATTGTCACCGTGGCCAAGGTCCTCAACTTTCTCACCTTGGTGCCCTTTACAGGACTTAGCCCAGGGCCTGCCACACACTAGCAGGGACAATGTGATTATCTGAATTAGACTGAACCACGAAACTGCAAGAGGAGCATGTGGCGGGAATCGAGAGCCCAGGCCATTGACAGATTGCTTGGACGGCATCTAGATCATCTCTTGATCTGGAGCCTGTTTCCAGATGCTCTGTGGAAGGAAATATTTTCCCCACATGGTATAGTTGGGGTGTGGGGCACTGGTCTCTGCCCACCACTACCTCAGTGCCTAGCCAGGGCCTCGCCCACCGTAGCCACCAGATAAACACTGAACAAACGAATGAGCAAGAGTAGCTTATCATGCACCTGCCGGTATGTGCCAGGTTCTTAAGTGTGTTCCATATATTACCTTATTCAAACCATATAAATATACCCATTTTACAGACAGGATCACTGAGAATCTGAGATAAACAGTTGAGGAACTTGCCTGGAGTGACTCAGCTAGAGGTGGAAAAGCCATGATTCAAACTCAGATTTGCCTTTCTCTAAAGCCCATGCTTTTAACTGCAGCATACTCACTCCTGAAGGTAAAAAGGAAAGGCAGGCAGACAAGGAGCAGATGGAAGGAAAGGCACGAAAAAAGAAAGAGCACGTGAGCTTTGTGAACTGTGACGCTCGCTACGAAAGGAATCGCCAGGGCCTGGGTGGGAGAATGGCCCCCTAGGCCAGTCATCTCCGGGCACCTGGCGTCGTGGCGTCCCCTCCTCCTTCGCAGGCATTTCTTCAATGTCCTGCCTGCCTCCACTGTGCCCTTCGGACGCTGGTAAGGACACCGCTGTCTGGCTTTTGTCCCAGTGCAGACCACGAGGCTTCACAGGACATGCGTCCTGTGCCCAGCTGTGTGCCCAGAAGGAAATCGCAGCTGGAATCCAACATCCCAGGCGTGCGTGCGTACGTATGCTAAGGAGGGACGCTGAGCCCCGGAGGCTGGCCTGGGCAGGTAAGGCGCCAGAGAGTGCATCAGACCTGCGCTAGCCAGCCCGTTCTTTTCAAGGCAGCCCAGCCGGAGAGATCTTATTTCAAATGCAAACCAAATCTCTCTCACCACTTTCCTGCTCTGCTTGAAACTCCCACAGCTCTCCTCTCCGTTGCATTTAGAATATAATCTAAACTCCTTCTGAGTCCCACAAGCTGTCCTTCCCACCTTCCCAGCCTCGAATCTTGCCCTCTTGCTCCTGCACAGAACAATTGTCAGAGCCTCAAACCCTCACTCCTGCCTTGGGGCACACCAGCGGGTCCCCTGCTGCTCCTCTGACCAGGGAAGCCCGCCCTCAACCCCAGGCCACGTCATGGCCCCTGGTTATAAACCCCCAAACCACCTCTATTCCTTCACTACACACTTCTAATTTTTCGTTCACAGTCGACCTTCCCCGATAGACTCTAATCTCCACGAAGGCATGGGCTGTATTCGATGGGCTCACCATTCTCTCCCCAGAGCTATGGTAATAAAGGAAGAAATATTTGAGGATTCTGTAGCTGCTCCAGCCCAGACACTTGCTCTAGGAAACTGTGTGCCTAACGCAACTCCCTCCTGATCTCTAGGCCTCAGTTTCCCCAACGGTAAAATGAGGCAGCTGGGCTGAGTGGCCTCCGAGGCCTCTCGCGACTCTAATGTTCTAGGTTCAACAACCTGAGGACATTTATAGCGTATCTTCAGCCCACAGCAGAATAATTTTGGAGTAATACCCCCGTGAAGGAAGACCCTGGGAATGTAACTCCCTCCCTCCTGTGGGCCCGTGTTTACACAACAAACCCCAGAAATCATCATAAATCATTCCCAGTGGAGCTGCCTGGGTTGCAGTCACAAGACAAAAATACCTCTGGGCACTGCTCCTCTGGGCCCCCACCCAACTTAAATGAAACAGGGTCAGCCAGTGCTGTGCCCTCTGTAGAGTCAGTTGCCAGAATTTTCTTTCCGTACTGGGTCCCTCCATAGGACCTTCTCTCCTCCCCTTCGGATTTCTGACCTCTTCTATCACAGTCACGTTCAGTTTTCAGGTGGAAATGATTTGAGAAGACAAGGGGTTGCGTTCTAGGTGAGCCGCTGTGGACATGCGTGTGACTCTCCGCAAATATTTCTCTCGTGGTGATCTGTATTCCTGGCTCCGTCGCACAGAGGTTATAGCATGTGCTCTAATGACCTTGAAAAAACACAGAAGGGAAACATTTCTCAAACCTCAACGGGCTATACCAACAACGCAAGGATTGCTTTTGGCCATTACTTCTGAACTGCCCACTCACCAAAGCTCACCCTGAATTGTCACACAGGTGACCACCTCGCGAGTCTCAGCAGTTTATCTCTGACTGGAGAATGAAAACAGCTTGGTCCCTAGGTCCAGGAATGTCAAGCATCTAGGCAGCAGATGGTCCAATCACCCTAAAACCAGCTCCGCTTGCCCTAAAGGTAGATCTAATTCAAGACGTCCACGATGTCCCTGAGTTGGGGTCAGAGGCTCTAGCTCTAAGCCAGACCTAGTCCCAAGAGCTGCCGCCGGGTGCAAGGAAGCCTGGGTCCCTGGGACCCTGGGAGGTTTAAAGTCACAGGGTAGCTGAGGGATCCAGGGAATGTACTTTGATGCCAGACTGGCCTTGGTCGAGTTTCTCTCTGCCACTTACCAGCTGTAGTTTCTGTTTCCTTTTCAAAGAAATAGAGAGAGTTGACCGATCTCAATATTAAAAGTGACGGTGCATGTCAAGCATTTAGCTTAGTGTGTGTGTTTCGTGCTCAGCATTCAAAGAGCAATGTGATCGCAATTGTCCTTTTTATGCCAGGGCCAGAAGCCCGTCTACCTTGGTATATCTGCCCATCTACCTGGCCTTGTCCAAAGCCACTGAGTACTCTTGCCACATCCTGCCTTGTCGAAACTTTGCCTTGCCCTTCTTGTTTTCCTCTCTCTAACAAGCCTGCCAAAGACTCCCACATTTTCTGTATAACTTACCTTATTTTATTCATTTTTGCTTGAGAAACAAAAGTTCTGACTTTTGAGTCAGAGCCTCCCTTTTGAGTCTCCTGGTCAGTAAGTACAACAAATTCAAGTGCCATTACGGAGACAGCTGGGCGTCTAGGCAACATGGCACAAGAAATAGTTGCCCGGGCCACTTGGAATTGAGATTTTTAGAACTCGCTTTGCCACTGATGACAATCACAAAGGTATTTACTTAACACCCTCTGAATCTTAGTCTTCCTAGCTGTAGAACTAAAACATCAATTTTGTTTTTTTTATTTCTGAGCCTTTTATTCTACCTTGACAAAACACTTTCTTTCTAGTAAATCTTTTGCAGAAGCCCAATATATAAAATATTTAACACAGTATGATCTGCTATGGCTATGGGGGCTATTATCTAATGTCCTTCCTCATTGTCATGTGGTTGTGCCTCTTTCCTTCATCCCCCCGGGCAGCCTGGGAGCTCCCATGCACATCTGTGAGGCTTCATAAGCTCTACTCATGTGACCTCTTTGTGCCTCAGTTTTCTCTGTCGAAAGGGGATTATAACTAGCTCTATCTCAAAGGGTTGGTCGTGCAAAATTAAATGAGTTAATATGGATAAAGCCCTTGGCATGGTGCCGGTCTCAAGTAAGTGTTCAACAACTGTTAGGTGTCACTACTATTCCTATCACCACTTGCTTGTTAAGGTGTTTGCCGGCCAGAAGCAGCAGGACTCTGCGATCCTGTCGCATCATGAAAGCCATCAGGTGTGGGGATTGCTGACTGTGCCCCTCCCCCCACCCCACCCCACCCTGCCTTCAGGGACACAGAAAGAGAGATGATGTTATTTCACAACACGGGCAAATTTTGTTTCTACTGAAAGCATGTGTTTTATAAAACACTATTTCTGTCACTGATTTATTTGACAACATTTACAGAGCTCTCGTTCTGCCAGGGTTGAGGCTAGGAGTATAAACTGGAGAGACAGGTATGGGAAGAAAGAACTTACATTTAAATAATGCCAGCCAGGCTGGTGACCCGTGCAGTTATTTGTCTGACAAATATTTATTGTCACTGACTACAAGCCAGGCAGTATGCTGAGGGCACAGCGCCCACAAAGGAAAACCAAGCTCCAGCCCTGTGGAGCTCACCTTCCGCAGAGCCGAGCTAGGAAGGGCTACGGAATCACAGGGAAAGAGAGAGCCACAGGGGCCGAAGGTGACGGGGTGCAGTGGGGCACAGAAAGCAGCCAGGGCACAGGGAATAAGCCCTCAGCAAAGCTGGCTTCAAGAGAGGGACAAGAGTGGAACCCCAGGTGAGGTGGGGCTCAAGGGAACAGCACGTACCAAATTATTTATCCAAGGGATTTCCAAGAACACTGCTGTTTGCTTCTATTATTAATAATTCGCTCCTGAAATGACACATATTACTTTTTTGGGAACCAACTTTTTTTTCCTTTAATAAGGTCTTTTATAAACAATTATTGAAAGGACATTTGACATAAGCAAATCTTAAACTGATCCTAGCATTAATCTTCCCTTCATGATTAATAGGCCAGAGTCTTGTTTCACAGAACTTTTCATTCTGGGAAGTTCATTTGGAAAAATAAATTGAATTTCATTTAAGGGAAACTGAGCATGACTTTGAGTATGGTACACAGGAAAGAGCTAAAGATTTGAGATAAGAAGACCCAAATTTGAATCCTAGCTTCTTACTCGTGGAGCTTCCTCTCTCTGAGCCGCTTTCCTCTTTGGTAGAACTGGGGGACTGACACCCACCACAAAAGAGGGATGTCCTATGAAATACAGAGGGGAACACGATCTGCAGACGTTAGAGCATATAGAAGCCATTTGTATTTATTTTAATAACTTCCTTTCTTTGTTCCTTTATTTTCCTTGCCCCCAAGCATAATGAAATGATAGTAATTGGATCATTTCTGCAGCTCCTGTTTGTTTCATTGTAAGAAAGAAGGATGAGTATCTAACAATGGCATTGCAATTCCCTGGGGGCTCAGAGTGTCACCAAGGAATCTCCCATGTAATCAGCCAGCAAAACCCACTCAGAGAGCCTCCCTGGGCTGCCCTAAGATCTGAAGTGAGCAGCTGGGCTCTCTCCACTGCTAAAAGACAGCCATCCTGAGCCAGAGCCCAGCTGCCAGGACACTATCGGCTGCCCTCAGAGCCCCAGGAGCTTTGAGTTTATTCCAGTGGACCCCAGGATAGACCTGCAGCCCCCTCTCTGTCCTTCCCACCCCCACCAGGCACGTTCGTTCACATCCGAAACCACCAGGCCTTACCTGTGTGTCCTTAGTCACGGTGGTTAAGGTGTGCCTTGTGTTCTCTTTGTAACGTTTTTTTATTGATACATAATATTTGTACGTAAATATTTTGTTACATGCATAGATTGTGTAGTGGTCAATTTGGGTATTTCGGGTGTCCATCACCTCAATTGTTTATTGTTTCTATGTGTTGGGAGCATTCCAAGTCCTCTGTTCTAGCAAATCTGACGTACACAACACGTTGTCGTTAGCAATAGTCGCCCTACTCTGCTACCAAACGTTAGAACTTACTCCTTCTATCTAGCTGTGTGTTTGTACTAGGTTTTTCTATAAATCCATGAAAAAGACATGATAAAAGAATCTGACCCCCTGCCTAGGATTGTTTTCAGGTTTGAAGGTGATTACTCATTTTAAGGACAATTGGAGGCAATTATGCATACTCAGGAAGTATTTCCTATCATTACAGTTGCCCATGTTTCCTCTCTCCCTCCTCCTTCTCTGTCTTTCTCCTTCCCTCATTCCCTTCCTCACTTCCTTCTTTCTTTCCTTTCTTTTCTCCTTCCTCCTTCCCTCCTTTTTCTCCCTCTCCCTCCCTCCTTCCCGCTCTTGCTTCCTTCCTCCCTGTCACTAGCCCTTCCTTCCTCCTTCCCTCTCATTCCTCCTTCCTTCTGTCTTCCCTCTCCCCGTCCTTGCCCCCACGTCCCTCCCCACAACGGCCCCAGCCCTGAGTCGTGGGAGCCCCCAGGCTGGGTCCCTGCAGAGGCAGACACAGGCCAGGGCCAGGATCTGCCAAATACAGCCAGCCTGGTACTTGACTGTAGGGCACTTCTAGGACTTGAAATCGCATTTGTGGAGCCACTAGCCACTATTTTGGGGAACTATAAGAGGCCCAGAGTCCCGGAGGACTGGGCGAAGATAAATGTTGTATTGCCTGTCTTCGCCAAAAAGGGAGGAAGATTGATTCTGGTCATTTTAAGCTGTTCTTTTAATATCTGTGCAATTCTCCACTAAGTCCTCTCTCCATCCACAAGTGCTGGGACTTGGCTGAGCCCTGAAGTTCTTTCCATCCTTCTCCTGTCCCTTATTTCTTTCCCAGTTTGAAGTTGGCATCCCATCCTGACACCCACAGATTTCTTTCTCTCCTCTGCTGGACTCTGGGCTGTCCAGGGACAGGGATAGGGCCTGTCACAGTGCTCTGCCCAGTTACTCTGCATTGTCTTAACCCTGTGGCGTGGGGGCTAGGAGCAGAGGATGTAGGTTCAGGAAGACTCAGGATTCACTACTGTCTTTGTCCCTTTGTTCTTGTGACTTTTCACAGATTGTTTAATATCCCTGTGTCCGTTTCCCCATGTACTCATCTGACACATACTCATCGAGCAGCTACTGTGTCCCGGGTGCTGTGCAAGGTGCTAGGGACAGAGTGGTGCACAAGGCAGGAACAGTCTTGGCCTGCAAGCAGCTTAGAGTGGGGGAGATGGCTAACAATCAAAGCCACAAGCAAAAAACCAAAATAAGAAGTTGTGACGAGAGCCATGAACAGAGCACTCGGGAGCTGAGCTAAGCAACAGCACGGTGGGGAAAGTAGAGAGCCTGTTTCAATACGGCGGACAGAGACGGCTCAGAGCCGCGTTTTCCGGCCTCAGCACTGCTGACGTTCTGCGCCCAGTAACACAGCGATTGTTGCTGATACCATCGTCCTTACAGATCTGCCTCTGCAACTGGCCACTGGCCCCTTGGGGACAGGAAGTAGATCATAATCACATCCATAACCCCAGCTCACAGGACAGGAGCCAGGACTCCTTACCAGACCCCCACAGCACAAATCTAAGAAGTCCCCACCCAGACAGGACAAACACATCAGCGCCGCACAAATGACTATGGCTTTGATTTGACCCCAGGTAGTCCCAGTCCTAAAAGAGTTAATATCTGATTAAAATTAGGCTCTTTTAGTGAAGAAAGAGGCGGCTCCTTGCTGCCCTCCTAAGAGAAGGCCCTGTGAAGGCTCGCTCCCCACGGGGCATGGCTGATGAGAGACGACATGGCCTTTGGTCTTCCTCCTCTCCCTGGAACAATGGAAGGGGCCTTTCCTCTTCCCATTTGGCTGGTTTGAGGCCCCTGATTCTCTTTTCCATGTCAGCTCTCACTTCTGAGCAGCCTTTGTGGCCTGGCCAGCAGATCGAGGGCTGTTTGTTTTCAGATTTCCATTCGGATCTGGGGCGAGCAGGTTGGCAGCTTGCTGCCTCTCTGTTTCTTCCTGAGCACTTTATGGGACTAGTTTCTGTCCACATAGAACTGGGTGCAAGGGGAGTGACCGTGTCAACCTTCCCCAGCCCCCTCGTCCTTCTCTCTCCCCACCTGCCCCCAACTCATCCCCCTCAAAGTCCTTATAGATCTAATAGTCCAGGATCGTGTGTCTTTATAGAGCCCTGAGTAATTCCTCCATGGGACAGATAAAAGCAAATCCAGAAGGGTGTGTACCTTAGCAATTTCCTTTACTAAGAAATTATTTCAAATGCCTTCCGAGACCTTGCTGGCCCCTGCAGCCTGGCAATACCTGCTCGAGTCCCCTACTGCTTCCAGATCCTGTGTTGAAGCAATTTTGGCAAGAGAAGATAGGCTCTGATTTGCAAAACAGTATTTCCTGAGAAAGTTTAATGTGCAGGATTGTGTTCTGGGCACTCTGGAGGCTACGAAAAAGAACAAGGCCCACTCCTCTGTGAGTTCCTATAGTGTCTGCACCAAGTGACGGACAGATGGTCGTTTGTTGAATGAGGACGTGGCCCTAACTGGGGAGAAAAGAAGACAGGATGCTGCCGAACACCTGACACGTACCAGGGCCTTATTAGGCCCTCTAGGTACAAAGGTGAGCAAGACACAGAGACCTGGTGGAGCCAGGTCTGTCCACAGAAAACCAAATGTCACCAGGAAGTGTGCATGCCGGGATGGCACTGAGCCCAGCCGGGCTTTCACAGAAACCTTCCAGGAGGAGATGATGCAGGAGCTG